GAGGAGCATTGCTTCTCTTATATAGAGGAGCTCAAGAGCTCATCTTGCCAAACATTTTCAATGTGGGATCAAAAATGATCCTACATCAAAATTATATACATATATATATATATATATATATATATATATATATATATATATATATATATATATATATATATATATTATGAACAATTTTGTAACCGTGTTTACCTTGCAAGGTGGACACGGTTTCACAGCACAATTTGACGGGTCAATGGTACTAAACAAAATTAAGAGCCTTTGAACAACTTGGCAATTTATATCCTACACCACGGCGTACATTGCACTATGCGCCCAGATGCAAAACGACGTCGTTTTAATTATTATTTTTTTTTTTGAAATTTCCCGCCCCAGTGAATGGCAGTAGGCTTTTCTTTAAAAAAAAACCCGCTGTTCAAGAATGTACATAATGTTATACTTGAATACACATAATGTTATACATGAATACACATAATGTTATAACAAAATATACATACTCTTTTTAAAAGATAATACACATAATCTAACACAATACATAATAAACATAAACTTTTAACATAATACACATCAACTCTTAACATAATACACACAAATTTTCTGATTCGGATGTACATAATTGTATAAAAACAATGTACATAATTGTATAAAAAATACACATAACTGTATGAACCAATACACATAACGTTGTGAACGAATACACATAACGTTGTGAACGAATACACATAATCTCAGCAACTTCCTACCGCGCCTCCCAACACGACCCCAAAACGACGTCGTTTTGGGAGGCGCGCGGCGCACAGTGCTATGTGCACCGTGGTGTAGGATATAACGATTGAACTTCTCAATACATGTCCACATTGATGGACAATCAATTATGTTTGCTCTCAAGAGCTCCTCTTTTCAAATATTTAAATGTGGGATTAAAATGATCCAACATCATTTACACAAACGGGAAGAGCCTTTGAACTTCTCAATACATGCCCACATTGATGGACAATCAATTATGTTTGCTCTCAAGAGCTCCTCTTTCCAAATATTTCAATGCCAACATCATTTACACAAACGGGAACCCATTTTTTTTTAATGCTACTGACTCTATTACAATGTAGTATTTGTTTATATACTTTCTCAACCTACTGAAACACAAAGAACCAGCCTCCACTGAGGCTCGAACTCACAACCTTCCAAATGGAAATCCAATCCGAGTATCATTAGACCACATAGTCTTGGTTATTATTATTATTATTGTACTTATAAATTATTGAACTTTATATTCACAATTACTGAACTATATGTGAACATATTCACAATTATTGAATCTCTATATTCATAATTACATAACTATATATTCATAATTTTTGAACTATATATTCATAATTATGAACGATTTTAGAATTGTGTCTACCTTGCAAGGCGGACACAATTCCACAACATAATTTGTCGGGTCAATAGTACTTAAAAAAAAAAGGAATAAGGGTCAAATAGGCCACTGAACTGCACACCAAAGTACAATTAGGCCATCAAACTCAAAAATAATGCAATTGGGTCCCTAAACTACACAAAATCATGCAATTAGGTCTAAAATGACATGTTGACCTGAAATTGTGCTGACGTGGCGGTTACCAATTTTAAAAATAAATTTTTAATATAATTTTAAATAAAATAATTAATTAATTTTTTTTTTTTAAAAAAAAACTAGAAATGCCGGAGACTGGAGACTTATCGTCTCCGGCCATGGAGACGAAGGTCTCTGTGTCTCCATGGCCGGAGACGAAAGCTTCGTCTCCGGCCATAGAAACGAAGCCTTCGTCTCCATGGCCGGAGACGAAGCTTTCGTCTCCGGCCATGGAGACGAAAGACAATCGTCTCCGGCAGTTTTAGTTTTAGTTTTAGTTTTTTTTTTTAATTATATAATTTTAATTAATTATATAATTTTAAAATATATTTATAAATTATTTTTAAAATTGGTAACCTGCATTTCAGGTAAACAAGTCATTTTGGACCTAATTGCATGATTTTGTGTAGTTCAGGGATCCAATTGCATTGTTTTTGAGTTCGATGGCCTAATTGCACTTTGGTGTGCAGTTCAGTGGCCTATTTAACCCTTATTCCTAAAAAAAAACATTTGGACTTCTCAATACTTGCGTACATTGATGGCAATCAATTATGTTTGTGAGAGGAGCATTGCTCCTCTTATATAGAGAAGCTCAAGAGCTCCTCTTTCCAAACATTTTCAATGTGGGATAAAAAATGATCCTACATCAATTACAAAGGGGAGCCCGTTTGTCTTCTTCTTCTTTTTTTTTTTTTTTTTTTTTTTTTTTAAAAAAAAATTATTTTTATTTTTATTTTGTATATAGTTTTGTTTGGATTATTATTATTATTATTATTATTATTATTATTATTATTATTATTATTATTATTATTATTATTATTATTATTATTATTATTATTTTATGTGGGATTAAAATGATCCGACATCATTTACAAATGGAAACCCGTGGCTCCCTTTTGTGTTATTTTTTATTTTTTTTAATTTTAATTTTATTTTGCATATTGTTTTGTTTGGATTATTATTATTATGATTATTATTGTACTTTGATTATTGATAAATTCGTCAAAATGTTAACAAATAATTGAACTTTATATTCATAATTAATGAACTATATGTGAACATATTCACAATTATTGAATCTCTATATTCATAATTACATAACTATATGTTCATAATTTTTGAACTATATATTCATAATTATGAACAATTTTAGAATCGTGTCTACCTTGCAACTTGCAAGGTGGACACAAATCACACAATTCCACAACATAATTTGTCGGGTCAATAGTACTTAAAAAAAAAAAAAGCCTTTGAACTTCTCAATACTTGCGTACATTGATGGACAATCAATTATGTTTGTGAGAGGAGCATTGCTCCTCTTATATAGAGGAGCTCAAGAGCTCCTCTTTCCAAACATTTTCAATGTGGGACCAAAAAAATGATCCTACATCAATTACAAAGGGGAGCCCGTGGCTCCCCTTTGTCTTTTTTTTTTTTTTTTTTGTTTTTTTTTTTTAATTTTAATTTTATTTTGTATATTATTATTATTATTATTATTATTATTATTATTATTATTATTCTTATTATTATTATTATTATTATTATTATTATTATTATTGTTATTGTTATTATTGTAATTTATTTTTTTATTATTACATTATTTCACAGGGGTTTTAATATGAACAGTAATATTATCAATTATATTATTATATTATAGAATATAATACTTTATATAATATTACCAATTATACAATTTATTATTAATTAATAGATTTTATTTAATTTCCATTTGACATTTACTTACCAAATAAATTTAACTCCAAAAGTTTGAGCGGGAAAATGAAATTGGAGGATTTTGTTATATATATATATATATATATATATATATATATATATATATATATATATATATATATATATATATATATATATATATATATATATATATATAGATATAGATTTTTAATTATACTATGTGCAATAATATATGAAATATATAATTATATGGGTACGATCGTTAAGATTGTCAAACATTATTTTTGAATTTTTTACATAATACAAAAATTATACAATAGTAAAAAATAGGAAAAATTACACTTTTAATCACTAAGTTATAGGGTAATTGAAGAATTCATAATTATTATATTAGTCGTGCTTACTTTTCGTCTCTAAAATATACTCCGTAATTGATGTTGCAAATTTCGTCCATTTACTAACAAAAACATTAGGAACAGAGTATAGCTTAGAAAGGAAGAGTAACCACAACCTGTTATTAAAAGGACGAAATTTGCAACGTCAATTATAGCTTAGGGACGAAAAGTGAACACGACCAACAATTATAGACGAATTCTACAATTATTCTATAACTTCGGGACGAAAAGTGTAACTTTCGAGTTCATTTAATATATACATAATTTAAAAAAAAATTAAGAGGAGGGGCCAAAAGTGTAATTTATCCATATTATAATAGTATATAGTTATATACCTATGGGGCGGGGGCCAAGGCCCCCTACCTCAAGGGTGGCTCCGCCCCTGCCCCCACCCCTCCTTTTTTTTTTTTTTTTTTCTAAAAAAATTGTTATTTAAAATTATTAAAATAAAATAAAATAAATTATTATTTTAATAAGATAACCTACACGTCAGCAAACTAAAAAGTAAACAAATCACTTTTGATTCAATTGAATTATTTTGTGTTGTTCAGGACAGATTGCATCATTTTGTGTTGTTCAATGACTTAATTGCATTTTTTTGAATTCAATGACTTAATTGCATTTTGATGTGTAATTCCATAACCTATTTGACCCTTATTCTTTGTATCATTGAGAAATAGAAGGTGAGCTATGAATTCCAATTGAGTAAATACCTAAAATGGTCCCTCGACTATAGCTAAATTCACAAATTGGTCTTCGACTTTCAATTTCAACCAATTAAGTCCTTAACTTTGCAATTTTGACACGATTTGGTCCTCCATCTATTTGACCATTTGTTGACCGTGATCGACGATCTTTAGAAGAACCTTCAGCTCTCGTCGGAGCCCGTGGAGGCCTCCAGGATGACGTTGCACCGGTTCGGAAACATGTCGTCTTCTTCACTCTGGTACGAACTCAACTACATTGAATCCAAAGGGAGGATGAAGAAAGGCAACCGGATTTGGTAGATTGCTTTCGGCAGTGGATTAAAATGTAACAGTGCGGTCTGGAAATGCAACCGGAACCTTAAAAACCCGACGATGGACCATGAAATCACATATATATCCTCAAAAATCACAGTCAACAAACGGTCAAACAGACAAATGATCAAATTGTGTTAAAATTGCAAAGTTAAGGACTTAATTGGTTAAAATTGAAAGTCGAAGACCAATTTGTGAATTTAGTTATAGTCGAGGGACCATTTTGGATATTTACTTATTCCAATTTAATAAGTTGAGTTGTAATTTCCTCCAACCAAACCACATTGAATGAATGCATTATAAGGTTGGAAGGTTGCATGAGAACCACACACTCGAAACCAAAAGATATCTATCTACGTTTTCATTTGCTAACCATAGATAGAGTGACAAACCCATTTACTGTTCTGCAAATTAAAAAGATCGATCGATCATATCAGCCATGAAAAATGCTTCTCTATAACACCATTATTTCAGCTCGCCATGTTCACACCCACTTCACTCTCAAACCCACCACCCACCGCCACTACAAAAGCCTCGCCGTCGTAGCCCAGGAACAACAACCCCCCATAGCCGCCGCCGCGAAGTTCTCCATCTCCGATGAGGAGCTCCAGTCCCGAGGCTTCAACCTCCACACCACCTTCACCAACCTCAACCTAGACCACCTCAACTCCGTGTTCGCCGCCGTGGGGTTCCCCCGCCGCGACACCGCCAAGATACAGCTGGCGTTGGAGCACACCGACGCGCTGCTGTGGGTGGAGCACCAGAAGGCTAAGCGGCCGGTGGCGTTCGCCAGAGCCACCGGCGACGGCGTCTTCAATGCAATCATCTGGGACGTCGTGGTGGACCCCAGCTTCCAAGGGATTGGCCTGGGGAAGGCTGTCATGGAGAGGATCGTCACCAAGCTGTTAGACAAGGGTATTACTAACATTGCCCTCTATTCGGAGCCCCGGGTTCTCGGCTTCTATCGCTCCCTGGGTTTTGTAGCCGACCCGGATGGCATTAGGGGAATGGTGTATTCAAGAAAACAAAAAAAGAAAAGGTGATTCAAAAAAAAAAAAAAAAAACACAATTGTACTCAGTTCAACATTTCTGATATGTTACAAGCAAAGGTTTTTCGCATTTTTTTTTGGATTGAAAAGCAATAAGTTTTAACAATTTTTTAGTACATATATTTGAGTGGCGAGGAAAATTTGAGTATGCATTGGTTAAATTTTATCTTGTGATCTGAGATGGCAAAAGATTAATCATACAATAGACTATGCTCCACGCAACTGTGTAAATTATGGTGATACACCACAAATATATATATATATATATATATATATATATATATATATATATATATATATATATATATATATATATATATATATTGTCGAATGAATCTATAGTATAATTGAAATGATACTTTAGTATTGTTATGGACAATTGTTTGTATAAAATGAAACTAAATAATTCATATAAGTATATATATTGCCAAACGAATCTGTAATAAATTTAAAATGATAACTTAATGTTGTTATAATGAGTTTATTGTATGTATAAAATGAAACTGAATAATAAAACTCATACATATATGTATATTGTGAGATGAACATGTTTTGAAAATAAAATGATACTTTAGTATTGCTATAATGAACCAATTTTGTGAGTCTGTTTGACAGAACTTGTTTAGGAGCTTATGGTTTATTTTAAGTTACTAATAAGCTATGAGCTCATGTTAGATCATGATTATGTTAATAATTTTATTTCAAAATGACTTTTTTAAAGACAAAATGTTAAATTTTAATATGAAAACAAACTAATTTAAATTTTATGAGGATGTCTTTTTTGTTTTTTTTTTTTTTGGTTTTTTTTTTTGTTTTTTTTTTTTTTTGGTTTTTTTTTTTGGTTTTTTTTTTTTGTTTTTACATTTATCAGCTTATCAAAAGCTAATTTTACCAAACACTTTCAAGCATAGATTAACAGCTTTCAGTTTTCAACTCCTAGTTTATAGCTTTTCAGCTTTCAGCTACCTTTTCAACTAGATTTACCAAAATATAACCTGTGTATAAAATGAAACTAGATAGCAGAAATGATACTTTAGCAGAAAGGACCACAAGAAGATAAATCAATATATTTAACGGGGTGAGATTAAAACCAAGACAATTAACACGAATAACATTGGATTAAAATTCATCTATAATAAAAATTGGATTAAAAAGTCATTGTCATTTTTGAGGATCTAATATTCAAACAGATCCATAATAATTCATCTATTAAAAAAAAAAAAAAAAAAAAACATTCTGCTCTAATTTTCAAGAAGATTATCTACAAATACAAACAACAAATAAGTAACAGAAGTGATGGGACTCCATGCCCAAACTGTGAAGTTCTCAACTTGGCATGTTATTCAACTGAATGCTTGGTGCTTCATGTTTTTCGGTTTTTCTTTTCCTATTAACTCTAACCTGAAAAATGAAGCCATGGAATCCAATCAATGAACATCCTGAAACACAGAGAGATTGTAACAGTCTGCAAACCAATGGGGGAAAGAGATAGAAGTTAGAACTACTGCATCAATACCAACCAGACATCAAAACCAAGGACCAAACGTTGAAAAATTACGTGGGAGAACATGACAGCTGTAGTGATGTATATATCAATCCATTCATGTTCCAAGAAACATTTCCTTCAGTTATTGAATGGTAGCATAGATTTTAAACTTCGGGATCTTAGGAATGCCTACTTGACGAGTTAGAACTTGAGGAGGCACTTAATTTAAAACTAAGGTATGTAAATAAGACAAGGTAACAAGACAAATTGATTAAAATGCCAAAAGCCCAAAATTAGTAATAAGACAAGGGAATGTGAAATTACCTAAGAAATTGGAGGGTATCTCACATTCCCTTCCAATAGCTAAAAACTTAATATGGAGGTTATGTGACGTTCCCGGGAAAATTACATAACCTGAACCAAACATGGGAATCTTATATTCCCAAGCAAATATAACCTTAGTTATCTTATATAACTTGAACCAAACACCCCCTTAAGGTGTATGGGCGCTGATTATGTCCAGAATGATGATGCACTCTTCCTAAACTGACACCTTAATCCCAGAATGAGGTTTTCTATTGTCTTCTCAATGTATAAAAGTTCTCAGTCTTCCAATCTCTCAACTAGTTCATTACTCGGTCGGTGTAAACCTTGGTGATATCACTAAGATTATACCACAAACTTTGCTAAAAGTCCATTGATCCTAAATATGTTTAGGCAATGTTTAATGTCGGAAACCTACAGCCTTACAGGTTTCAACCATTATCAGAAAGTTAAGCAGTAATATATAACTAAAATATAATTTCCGTGTTCAAGTGAAATGACTCTCAAGTCCCAACAAAGGAGCAAAACTGAATCTTGCCTAGAGGATGAAGGGCAGATGTGAAACAAGTAGATCCTACTATCCAAGCATAATTGCATATGCTATACAGAACTGGCTGCTCATATACCCAAAGCTTTCCAGGTCCTATCAATGGCGCTCACTCCCTGCAATACAACTTTCACTCCCCTTTTAATCTAAAGATCCCATTAAAGTTGGGGGCTTTATTGCTAAGAATAAAAATGAACACCTGATAATACATTCCATTTCTTTTGGGCACTGCAACTCCAAGATTCTTTCATAGGGAAAATTGTAATTTATGCCCGTCCATAATATACCTATTATCAATGTCATTCCTGAATTATTAGTGGTGTAAATGTTGCCCCTCAATTTTCAAAATAGTACATATATTGCCCCTCCCGTACCGTACGAGAGGAAAATTGAAGGGCAACATTTACACTACGGGAGGGGCAATATATGTACCGGTTTGAAAATTGAAGGGCAACATCTACACCACTAATAATTCAAGAGTGACATCGATAATTGACATATTATGGAGGGGTATAAATTACAATTTTCCCTTCTTTCGTATGAGACTCTAGCTAGTACAGAAGGTACATAAAGCCAGATAACAATGCAATAACAGAGATTAGCATGGCAAAGCTTACACGGACAGCTTAGTTGGTTCCTGAGTGATAGATTGTGGGTAAATGACATAGGATCAAACCTAGCAGCCTAAGTAGAAGTTACATCCAATATGATAGGCTCCATGTGAGCACCAAGTATTAGTCCACCAACATAATGGACCGCTGAGTTACCATGATTTATCTATCCGCTATCCTGGGTGTGGAAATTTCGCATTTTGTTGCAAAAGATTAGCATGGCAGATATTAATAGTTTGCCATTTATCATAACCAGACAAACCATAAATGGGGAATTAAGCAAACAAATTATTGATGTCAAGATGCAAATAATGTCAGGAAAATGAATCCAAAAAAACCAAAACTAATCTGTCCAAGAAATCAATCAAAATTCAAAAGACTCTTTTGAATAAGACCAAATCTTCAAATAAAGCTCCGATAGAACACAGATCAACCCCACCAAAGCCAGCAAAACAACGAATAAACATGAGAAATTGAAGAATCCGGGAAACAATATCAAACACAGGAATTGAGGAATCATCCATAGGAAGAGAGCAATAGAGAGAGGTACCTAGCAAAAATCCGTAATTTGGGCAATTGGGTCATCTCGAATCAGGAAAATTCCTTGGCATTTTGGAAGAAAGCAATACAGCAGAGAATTGAAGCAATGAAGGCGAAAATCCAAAGCACGATCACCAGAGAGAATCCGGCGACCATCAAGTCCATCAAGCGTTGCACGCTAATCAACATCCCCACCATCATACTCTTATTATTTCTGTACACTATATCTCCACACTACTACCCTATATCTGTTTCTCAAAATCTGGAAATGGGTCATTCCTAAATCATTCTTCTTTGACATGGAGAGAGGGAAAATGACAGCGTTTCAGAGGGAGTCCTAGGAAATGGAAAGATGGACATCACCAGATCGCCTTGCCGATTAATCAGACCATCATCCTAGCTGAATTAGTAATAGGTTGAGTGTATTATAATTTACGGAGTAATTTTTAATATATTAACTGAAATATTGAACATGGGGTACAATAAAAATAAAATTTTAGTAGAATAAATTTTAAACATTTTGGCTCCCTGACTATTATATATAAATCACATTTAGTTCTTGATTTTTGAATTTTTTTAATTATGTGTATGACTATGTATTTGTATCACATTTAATTTTGTCGTCTAATTTTTGGCCAATTATCACTAGAAGTATTCATTTCGGAAGAAGCAAACTTGGAGACGAAGAGTCAAGTCTCCAAGTAGCCTGGAAACAAAGGAACTTGGAGATGAAGAGTCAAGAGTCTCCAGGTAGCCTGGAAACAAAGGTCTTGTCTTCTCTAGCAGCCCGGAGACGAAGAAGTCAGACTTCTTCGTCTCCAAGCTGTCGGAGGTTTTTTTTTTCTTTTAATTTTTAATTTTTAAATTATTAAAATAAAATTTTTAATTTTTTTTTGATACAGTAACCACCACGTCAGCCATCAACAAGTAAACATATAATTTTTGGTTCAATTGGATGCTTTTGCATTATTCAGGGACCTAATTATACTTATTTTTAGTTCAACAGTCCAATTGCAATTTCGTGTGTAGTTCGATAGCCTATTTGACTCTTAGTCTCTTATACCAAAAAAAAAAAAAAAAAAAAAAAAAAAAGGAGAAATTGTTACCTATAGTTACAATATATCTTTATCATTGTGTGTATCAATAGTGAGAATGCTATCAAACTCGTGGGACCAAAAGTGACAGAAACTTTGTTTAAGTTAGTTGTAAAAAAAGTTCATATTGTGTTACATTTATACGATTAATATTTTGGGGTGACGAGGAAACACACATCCACTGCTTGAGGGTGTGCACGGGCTAAACTCCACCTTGTGATTCTAGCTAGGAAAGGAATATATGACTATATATTTACAAATACATGTTGAAGTGTTGGGATGCATTGTCTTTTGACAATGAGAATTGAAAACAAGAAGGCACTAAGTGGGAAAAACAATGGATTCCTCTTCACCAGTTGGGAAATACAATGATGATGAGACTGGAATTCTGTGCATCTTGATCAAGCTACCCATGCCATCAAGTTTGTTCTTCCTGATGGGTAGCAATATCATTTAGAAGCAAAGCCATTGCATGAGTTGAACAGTCTGCAATTTTCCTCTTCTTGAACAAAGCTAAAGTATTCAGCTGCATGATTAAAACCCAACTGGTCCAATACCTGCAGGATGGACAACAATGCAGTTTGCCAGGATTGAATGCTTGCAACAGATTGAAAGTGCATAGTCTTGAATGCACACAAACCATGCTTCATGGGGAGGGGGTGTATATTGAGTGACGAGGGAAACTAGCAGCCACTACTCCGAGAGTACACACTAGGTAAACCCTGCCTTGTGAGTGCCGGCAAAGGACCACAAGGAGGTAAACCAGCCTAGATTGTCCATAGCTGATTGGCTCAAACCAAGAAGGCCAATAGGTCGCTCCTGTTTGGGAGTTGAACTTGTAACCTTGTGGTTACCCAGTCAACAGCCTAACCAACTTGGCTGAGTTGCCTTCGAGGGGGCGTATATTGAGTGACGAGGGAAACCCGCAGCCACTACTAGCCCGAGGGTATGCACTAGGTAACCCTGCCTTGTGACCCTAGCCGGCAAAGGACCACAAGGAGGTAAACCAATCCAGATTGCCCATAGCTAACCGGCTTAAACCAAGAAAGCCAATAGGTCGCTCCTGTTGAGATTGTAACCTTGTGGTTACCAAGCTAACAGCCTGACCAGTTTGGTTGGGGTTGCCCCAAGGGGGCGTATATTGATATCATTATGTGATGTGTGTGTATGCAAGTGTTTTTTTGTGCAGCAAATGGTACCTGAGGTGGGGGGCATCATTGGATTTCTCCTTAGGCGGGATACCGGCTCCCGGATGTCAACAATCACAGCATCAGAAGTCAGGAAGGACTTGGCAACAGATGCTGCATGCTCCAGGCAACATCTAACCACCTGTTCAACACATTCATTGTATGATATAAGAGATGCATTCATGAGATTCACAAACTGATAAGAATACTATAAAGATTAATCTGTGTTTTTCTCATGTTCTGTTATATTCTGGCAATGTAAAAGCTTGATTAGATTTAACCAAAACCATCTGAATCAGTAAAGCTGCTTTCTTTAGTTTGACCTTTGCAGGATCCAAAATCCCAGCAGCCATCAAATCTTCATATTCGCCCTTAGCAGCATTATATCCATAACTCGTGTCATCAGTTGAAAGAATCTGCACATCATGACATATAAGTTGGCGAGTTATTTTTCAGTAATTGGAATAGCAATTCTGACAACATTTGTGAAGAATGCAGACCTTCTCTATAATAACATTCCCGTTTACACCAGCATTTTGCGATATCTGTCTTATAGGATAGGCCAAAGCTCTTTTGAAAATCTCGGCTCCTATCTGCTTTCATAGACATAGATGCCGTAAAATATTATCTATCGAGTTGTGAAAAAGGAAAATGTCACTTACCCTTCAGAGATTTCGTATTGTACAGTCCAAAAAGAATCACATAAAAACAGAGGAGATGTAACTATATCGATGGGCAAAATAAAAGTACGAGAGATACCTTTTGCTCTTCGTTGTCTAATGTTTCTTTGATAGCATCAACCTTCGATGACAACCTTAAAAGGCAACAGCCACCGCCCACTACTACTCCTTCCTCGATAGCAGCCTAACGAGCGAGACAGAATTTCCATTGTCGTTTGATGGATTTTGCAATCAAGCATAAGAGAGAAAGTAAATAGTAGTTACCCGGGTTGCATTGAGAGCATCTTCAACCCTTAGTTGTTTATCCTTCAATTCGACTACTGTTTGAGCTCCTACCTATAATTTAGTCGATAAAATCAGATTAGCTTTACAACCCGAGACTAGACTACATCGTTATGTGCCAATTCTCTTTGCCATACCTGAAGAATAGCAATCCCACCGGACAATCTTGCTATCCTTTCATTCAAAATTTTCTTTTGAAAATTTTCATCAGTGTTCTGCAAAGTAAAAACACATACCACACTAAAAGACTGAATCCAATCAATTAGCTAGTTTAACCCATGCCCTTATAAACCAATATGTTCTCTCTTATTTTTGCATTGCAATTCGCACCTTGACGAGATTTTGTATTTGAGAGACCCTCTTGTTAACAGCCTCTTGATGCCTTCCATCGGTAACTATCAGTGTAGAGTCCTTGGTTATCACCACCTTCGAAGCAGTCCCCAGTAACTCCTTATTAGCATTCTCGAGTGTCAAACCCTTGTCCTCTCTTATCACGGTTCCTAGAAAGACACGATGAACTTAGCAAGCAAGCAGCAACAGGAAGAAAATTGGAGACACCAAATTTAGCACGAGCTTCTTAATGTTCGGGTCACACTAACCTCCAGTCAAAACGGCAATGTCCTCTAGGTAGTGGCTCTTGCGCTCATTAAAGGCGGGGGCTTTAATAGCGGCTGCCTTAAGGACGCCCATGAGTTTGTTCCTAATTACGGGAGCAAGAGCTTCCTCTTTGATGGCCTCTGCAATTATCACAATAGGGTACTTCTCCTTAGCAGCATTGTCCAATATTTTAATCAACTCTTTTGGATTCGAGATTGTTTTATCAACCAACAGCAACTGCAAGCGAAAATTTCATGGCCTGTAAGTATCCACTGAAAAACAGGCTATAACGAAAACATGTAATGTTTACCTTGCAATCGTGAAACTCTACTGCCATTTTTCGGCGATCAGTGACAAAATAAGGGGACAAGTAACCACGATCAAAATGCATTCCTTCTACAATCTCTAAGCTCGTCTCACTGTAGTTCCCTTTCTCAATTGTAATAACACCTTTTCTGCCTACTCGGCGAATAGCTTCAGCGATCATATTTCCAACAGAATAATCATTCCCCGCACTAACAGCTGCAACATCTGCAAGTTCACGATCCTCAACCTGCAATGTGTCAAGGCGGTAGGTAGGCAATTCCAAAATTGCGTATTCCACTATTCCTGAACTTTTTTTTTTGAGTACTATTGACTCTATTACAAGGTAGTATCTGTTCTATACTTTATCTATTGCAGATCAAAGAGTCAATACACCACCACCGGGGTTTAATCCTGTAACCTTCCCTCAAGGAGAGTCACAGAGGTGCCATCTGAGCATAAGGTGCTTGGCAGTATTCCTGAACTTGAAAGTTACACATTTGCATAACTCCATACCTATCCCTTTACACTAAAACTACATTAGATATATTCCTACTCGAGAAATTCTAGTCTTCTAGTTTCCACAATGATGAAAAGACATGTAAGCTCTATTGAATATACCTCTTTGGACATGGACTTGAGTTCAGAAACAAGCGCTTTAGCAGTTTTCTCAATCCCGCGTGATACTTGTACAGCATTTGTGCCTGTTGCAGTAACCTTTAGGAAAGGTAAATTTTAAGTGACATTCAACCAAGTAAAGAATGAAGTCATTGAAGATTCATTCTTAAAGTACATCATTATATGCCCAATAATGAAGGGGGTTCCTATATATGTCCCTTGATTTAAGTTATATTGCAATGCACCTTGACACCTTCAGTTATCAGGCCTTGGGCAAGCACTATGGATGTAGTGCTACCATCACCAGCAATATCATTTGTCTTTGCCCCAGCTTGCCTCACCAACTTAACTCCCACATTCTCCAAAGGATCCTCAAGTTCAATCTATGCATGCAAATGCAAGTGGTTTAAGAATATAGAACAAAGAAACAATCAAACATATCATCAATTTTGCATTTAACTTAAACCATGTAATAATTCTGAGTAACGGGGAAAATCTGCAGTCACTACCAAATTACCAATGCTGTGCACCGGGTAACCAGCCTTATACTCTAGTCGACAAAGTACCAACAATGAGATAAAAGCTCAAACCAAGAAATGCCTAAAAAGCCAATAGGCCACTCCCATTGGGAATCAAACTTATAACCTTAATAGTTAACGAGTCTAACATTCTGACCAACTTGGCTA